TCATTCATATATTTCTGTGGAAACTAATTGCTTTGTATTTAAAAATTTTGTGTTCTATCAAAAGAGTTAAAAATTTTACGTCCTTTTCATGTTTTTTAAGTTCACATTAGCAAATCTTAGCATCCTGCTACCTGTCAAGAAAATATTTTCCTAATCTTTCGTGTTTTTTATTAAAACATTTATTAAAAGTTTGTTAACATTATAAATATTTAACAAAAATAATTATTTTAAATATTTGTTAATTTATGCAATTTTTAACATAAGTTACGATCCCAACGAACGTAAATATCAATTTTTTAAAAATTTGCCACAAAATAATATTTTCTATTTCAAACAAAATTGTGAAATTCATGTAATTTTTTTCCACCCTTGGGTGCAAGCACAAAATCGCACATTTGTGCACATTTGTGCACATTTGTGCAAGCGTAATATTAGAACAGCAGAGACAGTTTCTTACAGCGCTCTCGTTGGCGAACGAATGAAACTGGGCAATCTCTGGCAGAGTCTTATCTAGATATAAGAGACAAATACCTTAATGAATGGCAACATAGGTGGGACCATTCCCAAAAATCAAGATGGACGCATTCGTTAATTCCAAATATAAGAGTTTGGATTAACCGAGGATCTGGAGACTTGGGATTTCAATTAACACAGTTTCTTACGGGGCATGGCTGCTTCCGTGAATACTTATACCGGTTTAGGCTAGCAAGTAACCCGTACTGCCCGGCCTGTCCAGATAAAATTGAGAGTCCTGACCACATAATTAGAGAATGTATAAGATTCGAAGATACTAGACAAAATCTAGAGACACTAATTGGGGAATCCAGCCCTTCTACTATGGTAATGCAGATGTTGGCAAGCATCGAAGAATGGAGCTTTTACAAGAGCATAATCTCTAGAACAATAAATACTGTTAGAGCGGACGAAATACTTAGTACACAATCGGAGTGAATGCACGCTAAGTGCTTTTCTAACCTGCCCTGTGAAGGAATACCTTAACTGGTCGTACTGCAGGGATTTTCAGGATTTTGAGTTGAGAATGTAGGGGACTTTTTAGTCCGTAGGCATGTATGACTCAATTTGAGTCGTGCATGAATCGGGCATGCAAATGGTACGGGCCATTTGTATCTTTTGAAGATTTTTCCCCCAGGTCCGATACCAAAAAAAAAAAAAAAAAAAAAAAAAAAAAAATATTAGAACAGCTTAGTTCTAATATTAATTGCGTTTTTTGCCGTGAATGCACGCGTTTCGAGTGCGGTCCGCTGGTTCGGTATATTATTCCTGTATTTGAACTGTATATACGGTAGAAAGTTCTTAAATGCGGTGGAATATAATATACTCACTTGGAGCGATGAAAAACTGCAGCCGATGTGTTATTTTTTTTCATAAATTTCTTTTTAAATTCTTTAATTTTTGAACTTCCATATATCGTTATTTTATTTTTTTTTTTTATTGAATGTCTGTAAGTTTTGATGCTCTTTTTTATTGCAAAATAATTGCACACATACAAAATCAGCTGATAGAGAGAGCAATTAAATTACTAACAGAGAAATATTACAAAGTGAATAAGTGTTATAAAACGATCAAATAATTATATCGATTGTTACACAAAAGCTTGTGCAATCGTGTAATATTGTACTCTTATTTAGCAACTTAGCAAAATATTTAAATTTAATTAACAAATTGTAAATTTATTAAGCAAATTTTTATATTTTAAATTTACTAGCAAAATTTTAATGTTAAACATAAATTCTGAATTTGTACATTTGAAATTTACAGGTACTTAATTCTTTTTTAATTTTTTAAATAATTCAAAAGGTATGAGTGGGCAAAGAACATCACCTATGCGGAAACAAAACGCATCTCAAAAAACATTGCAGAAGGATGTAGTTAATATTCCTTTATCCCCCAAGCCAGATGATAGCGTGGAGGATAAGCTATTACAACTATCTGCGATGACGGAATCTCAAAGACATATCGATAAGGATATGCGGGACCTGCTAGCACAGGTAGTTGAGATGTATAAGTCGGATCAAGAAAGGGGGTCACTATTACTGGTAGCAGCTAAGAGTGTGACTTCCATTAGCGTGCAAACTCAGAGAGCACTAAAGCGTTCTGCAAATGAGAAACCGAACGGTCCACCGCCCAAAGTTCAGATTAGGGAAATTGGAAGCAAGGAACATGGAACGCCTTGCAACAAATGGCAACTAGTGGAAAATAAAAAGAGGAAAACTGTGATAAAACTGAACCTCATTAAAGCGCCAAGAGTGAGACCCGAAGCTATTCTTATTAGCAAAACGCTTTAACATTTCAAGTTTGAAGGGATCTGGACGAGGTAACGTCAAACGAAGAGGTGTGCGCAGCGATTGCTGACCAATTTCCAGCAATAAACGTAAGCGACATCAACGTAAAGTGTTGGCGTTACGCAAAAGACAATACACGAACAGTGATTATCGATCTCCCTTCTAAGGATGCCAGTGTACTAATCACAGCTGCCTCAATCGGAGTGGGCTGGGTGTGCAGTAGAACCAGAAAGCATATCACACCCATGAGGTGCTTTAAGTGTCTTCAATTTGGACATGCTGCTAGACATTGCAAAAGCGATAATGATAGATCTAGCACATGTATGAGATGCGGAGAAGATGGTCATAGGGCAAAATCGTGCTCGGCTCAACCAAAATGCATCCTATGTCCGGAAAACTGTAAGGGTGGTAATCTACACTACTCAAGAAGTCTCAAATGCGAATCCTACAGGAAGGCTATGCAGGAGCTTAAGTCCAAAAAATGATTAAATTTCTGCAATTGAACCTAAATCAATGTGAGGCTGCCCAAGACCTCTTATCCCAAACAGCTTTGGAATTAAAATCGGATGTACTTGTAATTAGTGAATTTTACAAATCAGAAGAAATCCATAAATGGGTACAACATACTTCTGCAAAGGCAGCCATTTAGCGAGGACAGGACATAATGTTTGAACCAAGCGTATTGGTACAAAAGGAAGGCCTAGTACTTGCTAGAATCCGAGGTATATATGTGTGCAGCTGCTACATATCCCCAAATATTACTCGAGAGAGATTTGAAGAGTTTCTCGAAAAGCTATCAGGAACAGTCAGAAATAAAACTCCCATCATTGTTGCAGGGGATTTCAATGCTTGGGCAGTCGAATGGGGCAGTACTAATACAACGCGCTGAGGTAGAGCCCCATTAGAGACATTCACCTCACTAAACCTAACACAACTGAACGTTCGATAATGGTAGAGTCGTATTCTACATTGACCTCACCTTCGTCAGCCCCCAATTAGTAAGGTGTTCGCAATGGAAAGTAACAAACCAATGCCATTTGCTTTTCCATATCGTTGAAAGAGAAATTTGCTTTAAAAAAAATCGCAGAGAAAAGCACAGCAAAAAGGTTGGAAAACTAAATATCTCGACAATGATGTAATGGAATTTATGACCGAAAACATGAGTTTCGGAGTTGGAGATGCTTCTGAAAAATCAAATCATCTTAACATATGAAAGAACTATGCAACATCTGTGATGCATCAATGCCAAGAAAAGGCAGAAGTAATGGGCGCCCATCAAACTATTGGTGGACGGAAGAAATAGTTTTACTAAGATCTCAATGCCTTGCCTCCCGTAGACAGTTCCAACGCCACAGATCTGGAGTAGATGCGGAAAAGCTTCTACAAAAATACCGAGAGCAGCAGATCTAAGCTTATAAAGGCAATTATTAGGAGTAAGAACCAAGCATTTCAAACTCTGATCAATGATGTAGACCACAATGTTTGGAGCGACGGTTATAAAATAGTAATGCGTAAATTTAAGATGTTAAGAGGCTCGGTACCTTCGTGTCCTAAAATAATGGCGAATATCGTTAAACACTTGTTCCCAAAAAAGGGAGAACTTAGAATCTTAATACCGATAATCACCGATTTAAATGAGATCCCCCCGGTTACAAATTCTGAAGTCATAGACGCTTCATCCAGAGTTAAGCCCAATAAATCTCATGGATTGGATGGAATCCCCAATACTGTACTAAAGAAGGCAATACAAAAACAAGCTTCTATATTTACGGATGTTTACAACAGCTGCCTACAGGAAGGAATCTTCCCTTCGAGTTGGAAAAAGCAAAGATTGGTGCTTATTCCTAAAGGTAATAAGCCCCCAGAACTGCCATCATCTTATAGACCTTTATGCTTACTAGACACTGCAGGTAAGGTCCTTGAAAGAATTATAAGTTCTAGATTAGAAAAATTCACAGAGGCAAGTCAGGATCTATCAAATAACCAATTTGGCTTTAGACCTAAACGCTGTACTGTTGATGCTGTACTACATGTATGCAATATTGCAAAGGAAGCTACTAAGGGCGTAAGGTGGCTAGGTGGTACTAAAAAGTACTGCGCGGTAGTGACCTTAGATGTTAAAAATGCTTTCAACACTGCTGAGTGGAGTAGCATCTTAAATACACTGATGAAAATGAGAGTCCCAGAATATCTTTTGAAAATTATTACATCATATTTTAAAGACAGATTACTCTTATATGATACATAATCCGGACCCAAAACATATAGGATTACGGGAGGGGTCCCCCAGGGATCAGTTCTAGGGCCAATTCTATAGAATATCATGTACGATGGTATCCTTCGAATTGAAAAGCCGGACGGAGTGCACGTAGTTGGGTATGCAGATGATATTGCAATAGTAGTGGTTGCAAAAACTCTAAACGAAGTGGCTAGGAATTGCAGCGCTACTATTGTAGCAGCTAAATCGTGGCTGTAATACAGCGGATTAGAGCTTGCTGAGCATAAAACTGAGGTGCTAATAATCAACAGTAGGAAAAAGATTGAACAACTCTCAATTAAAGTGGGTGGAGTAGATATACAATCTAGCCCCCAACTTACATATCTCGGTGTAACCTTAGATAGTAGGTTGAGTTTCAAAACTCACCTAAAACAATCGGGAGATAAAGCATTACGTGTCTGCAAGCATTATCTCGATTAATGCCAAACATAGCAGGTCCCAAGGACACCGCTAGAGTTCTTTTAGCATCAGTTTCCAAGTCGGTGATGCTATATGCTGCTCCTGTGTGGGCGCATGCTACAACCATTAAGTCGTATTCACGTGTAATGAAGAGTGCACATAGACTGGCAAACCCACGCATCTGCCGTGCTTACCGTACAGTATCGGAGTATTGGCTGGATGTATTGGCTGCGGGAGTATTGGCTGGACGCATGCCAATAGACCTTGAAGCGTTCTTGGCCAGAGACAGCTTCTTCCAGCGCTCTCGTCGGCGAACGACTGAAACTGAGCAATCTCTGTCAGAGTCTTATCTAGATATAAGAGACAAATACCTTAATGAATGGCAACATAGGTGGGACCATTCCCAAAAATCAAGATGGACGCATTCGTTAATTCCAAATATAAGAGTTTGGATTAACCGAGCATCTGGAGACTTGGGATTTCAATTAACACAGTTTCTTACGGGACATGGCTGCTTCCGTGAATACTTATACCGGTTTAGGCTAGCAAGTAACCCGTACTGCCAGTTTTGTCCAGATAAAATTGAGAGTCCTGACCACATAATTAGAGACTGTATAAGATTCGAAGATACTAGACAAAATCTAGAGACACTAATTGGGGAATCCCAATTCTACTATGGTAATGCAGATGTTGGCAAGCATCGAAGAATGGAGCTTTTACAAGAGCATAGTTTCTAGAACAATAAATACTGTTAGAGTGGACGAAATACTTAGAACACAATCGGAGTGAATACACGCTAAGTGCTTTTCTAACGTGCCCTGTGAAGGAATACCTTAACTGGTCGTACTGCAGGGATTTTCAGGATTTTGAGTTGAGAATGTAGGGGACTTTTTAGTCCGTAGGCATGTATGACTCAATTTGAGTCGTGCATGAATCGGGCATGCAAATGGTACGGGCCATTTGTATCTTTTGAAGATTTTTCCCACAGGTCCGATACCAAAAAAAAAAAAAAATCATCGCTTTGTGCGATGTGAAATTTGAAACCGCACAACAAATTTGAGTGCGTGCATTTTTTTCTTAACACCACAAATGTGCGTGTGCATATTTTAAAAATAATTTCCACTCGCACAGTGCAGTGTGCGATTTTGTACACCACAATCTGATATATTCACCCGGAAAATAAGACTTACTGTAGCTCCAATTGAGAAGCCTACATTCCAAATTCATTAACCAAACCTACACCAACAACAATAACAGTTCTCGGGTTTATCAAAAAAATCTATTTGTTTTATTCAAAATCTAGCAAAGTCGAGTCGACCTTAAAATCTCTCTCTAAAATAAGATGGGAGAATAAAATCGAAGAAGTAATGTTGTTGCAGTTCACGTGTGGTACGAAATTTTACTATGAGTGAACAGTATAAATAAACTATGGCAATCGACTGAAGTAAACTTATAAAGGAACTATCGTAAACTGAATTTCAAAAAAGCGTTGAAAAAGCTCATGTTAATTAGTTAATTGTGGTGGAAGGAGGACGAGTCCTCCTCAATTAGCTAAAGAAAAAGCCGTTTTGAATCCACAAAAAACCTCGTGATAATGAGTAGTAGAGGGTCAAACTAAAAACAGTCAGAGGCTTTAACAAAGGCAAGAATCTGGCTAATACTAATGCTGGAGATATCGCTAAGTGAGTTGAAGAAGGGGGCCCCTAGAAAATTAAATCTAGTTCTGGCCAGACCTGGACAAAGACACATCAGGTGTTCTGGTGTCATTTCTTCAAGAGCTGGTAGACACGCACTACAAGAGATACCATGCCGTCCTATGGACCAGTATCACGTAAAGACAGATATTAGCCTAGATACCTCAGATTTGTTTCTACAGATTAAGTCAGAGGTTCTATATTTGGAATAGATTGGCCAAGTAGCCCTTGACCTATCTGCTGAGGCAGTTAGGGTCCACTCACTATTTGCTTGTCGCAAAAAATGGTCATGAATCAGCCTACAACCGTAGCTGACAGGGGCAGGGATCGGAATAGGGGTATCCGTGGAAGAGGCGCTTAGTTTAGCAAGCTCGTCAGCGCGCTCATTTCCCACAATATTAGAATGCCCAGGAACCCAGACTGGAGTAATTTTGGACCTCTCGCTTAGTTCACTGATAATTTCCTCACATTCTTCTACTAATCTCGATGGCGAACAAACTGCTGATATAGCTTTAATAGCTGCCTGACTGTCAGTTAGAATGTAGACCTCTTCTCCGTGAAGGTCCATATTTAAAGCAAGAACATTGAATAAGCCCAATATTTGTAGGAAAAAGTATTTACGAACCAAATTTTGTTTTGTTATTAAAACGAATCATTCAATTCTGAACTTTAGGTTAATGGAATTGGTAACGGGTAGGACTTGGTAACTGTCATTTGATTGAGATTGGGTAAATCTGGGAATCTAGAACTGGTTTTATTGTGAAAACCATAGTGTTTTTAAAAGTGACAATGGCTATCAACAGATCTTCCCTCACAGAAGGCTTAAATTCGTCTAAGTGGAATTTATCATTGATACCGACTGTCGTTTCAAAACACTTAATGGATGGATATTTTAAACAATTTGTTTTCATACATGACACTAATTATATAAAAAGTATACTTCACAAAGACCTTCTCAAGTATTGTATTGTAAGGACGTAAGTACAATACTTCGGGAAGGTGAAAACATTGACAGCCAGCCTTTTTAAATGTATAAGGGAACTGCAGTTTTTGAAATCGAACTCATTAGACTCTTTCAACGATATAAAACAACTAATCCTGAAGGAAGCTTATCAAAGTTAAAGTTTATTAAGACCTACTTGAGAAGTACAATGAACTAACGGAGACTATCTGCATTGGCAATTCTATCAATTAAGGTGAAAAAAGCAGCTGGTGCAAATTACGATATAATTTTTAAAAAAAAAATCAGTGACGCTAAAAGCAGGAAAATTTAGTTTTGTTTTTTTTTAATTTGATCAGCAATAAAACTTTCATACATGCTTCACCATATTCGTGAATGTAATTTATTTATTTTTGTAACTCGGTAATGAAAGGAACCTTGCAATTCAAATGTCGCTGATGTCCAAAATTGGTCTAGCTCCGCCATTGTATGATATAATTAAAATTTATACCACACAATTGTATATTTATAAAATATCTTTAATAAACTTTTAATGCAATTTTCTAAAACTGTTTTAACCACATTTTATTTTATGTTATGCTCTATAAAATTATATTTCAGGATTATATCTCTATGGAAATCTTAAAAATTCTTAATTTATAATTAAACATCTGGCCTATTCCAACGACCGTAGTAATGTTTGTTATCGACAATTTTTCTTTTTTTTTAAACTTACTACTTATGACAATAACAATATTTGACTGACATGTACGGTACTACCCAGTGGAAATCACTGCTTTGTGAAGAATTACAATTTCTAGAATCTACTCGGAAAATCAAAAGTTGCGAAGCGTATTAGTCTACGAATGCATCTTTCGTTAGGCCTGCGGCAAATGGGTTAGGGTGAACTACCAGTCGTGAGTGATAGTTGCTGCTTATCTGCTGTATTGACTCGTACACTGTAGAGATGCCAAGATCATGATGTAGGACGTCATTCGGAATACATCATGGGGCGTCGGCGCAGATACGTAATATTTTTGATTGAAACCTCTGAAATATATCTAAATGTGACTTCGCTGCTATACCCCAGATGGGTATACCGTATGTCTAGATTGGCTTTAAGACGACCTTATATAAAAGTACTTTATTTTGTAGCGACAACTTGGATTAGGGATTAAGTAGCCAGTAAAGTGAGCGTAGCTTTAGTCCTAACTGCTTTCGTTTTTTAAAAATGTGGTGACGCCAATCGGCAAAAATAAGCTTATAATAATGATATTGCGAACATAGCGCATTGCGCTGATGATTAGGTTAGTACATTATTTCTGGTTGATCAAACGTCTGTATACAGTTAATCTAATGATTATAAATGCAAATTGATACTTCGCCAAACTCATTGGTATTTTATTTTAGTAACGTTTGCTTTCGATGCTTTACTATAATTTTTGGGGTACACAGATATAGTAATTACATAAAAAATTTTGACAATTTTCAGAATAATATATTAACTGGTATCGATTCTACAAATTTGTTTTCCTTAAATCAGAAAAATTACAGGCATCCTTTCTGTAGTGACTGATTTTATTATATGTGTTATGAATTAAATAGTTTTTACATTCAATTTAATAGTATTTATTTTAAATTGTTTTAAGGCAAGTATGAAACAACTAATTTAAGCTAAGGTCTTTCATTACATGACTCAAAACTATCTTAAAATTTTAAATTAGGTATATATTTACAACAAATAGTTTATAAAACAAAACTTTATATATAATGTGAGATCAACTTTAATATTAAAAATAAAATATCAAAAATTTCAAAATAAAATTTGTTATACACAAAATCTGTTATAGCAATATATATATATTACAATAATTTCTTAAAGGCATAGTGTTACAAAAAATTTAAAGCTTGATAGTAATTTTAAGTAAGAACTTTCTGATTAATAAAGGCACGGAACTTATATTATTGAATACGGCTGATCATAGTTATTATTTAATATAGAATTTAAATTTGTGTCATAATCTGTGTTGCGGTAGCAAAAATTTTAACTAATCGAGTTAAAGAACACGTATACAATATTTTAAAAATATAGTACTGAAAATTTCTTATTTATTCCAGAACACTAACTTCTAACTACGTAATAGACTTCAATTTATGTATTTCATTAGATTAATTTATAGATAAGTTACAAATCTTATAAATTCTTTTTGATTATAAAAATACAAAATGTATGATAATTATTTAACAACAATAACTAAACTATCCCACCAAATATTTCAGTCCATTTTGTACTTGTTTTTTGATATGACAGGCTCTGTTTTAAGCATGGCCCAGGTTATAAGCTGGCTACTCATAATAATCTTAAATGAAAGGTCGCCAAAGCTTGGTTGTATCTACTAATAACATTCATTCAATAAAACTAATTATAATAAATTCGATGGGACCATATTTTCAACCGACACACAGTGAGGCAGAATTAAATCTAGCAATTTGCAATTCGATATTTTCGGAACTTGTGAAGGCATTAAAATTAAACTTTGCTTAAATATTATTTTTATATTTGTAATATATGTTTTGTATATATATATATAATTAAAAATTCTAAAAATCTATGTATATACATTTCTTATAAACATAAATTTTACTATATTAAAAATGTTTAAAAGACAAAAAATATATAATAATTTTGTATAGGAATGGCTGTAACAATGTACGAATTGTCACGAACTTCCTTGAACGTCAGTCATAAGGTCAAATATTCCGCATTCAAATTGCGTCATTCTAGCTATTTAAATCAATTGGGAAGTTGACTGCATTTGAAGCTAGTTTCGGGGGTCGGAAAGCTACTAATATATTTGCAAATAGACTGACGTTATACCAAAATTTATTGAAAATTTCATTTTAATATCTGGAATCATTAATATGTGCCATGGTTAACAATAACCCAGTCTCATATTATCGAATATAATGCCATTTTACTAAATAAATAACTGTCTCTTTGAATGAAGTATAACTACTTTTTTCAATTAATTAATGATTTCAAAAAATTAATGATTTAGTAGACAAATTGATATTTCATATTTTTTACAAGTATGTTCTATACACGTTGTTTCCATACCCAAATATACTACATACATATGTACCTCAATATTTAAAGCAATAGTGCTTACGTAAAAAGTATTGCCTTAAACTATGATAGCGACTCAAAAATTTAATTTTTTTTATTTGTTTGCTCCACATATGAACACTTTTTATCATATCCTTTCTTCGTTGACATCTTCACACCCTGGTCTATGTGCATCAACTGTATAGTTCTGAAATCGATGTTTATAGTCAAAATCCAACGGTACGTTCATATACGAATGTTTTATTTCTTTCAGCCAAGAAGAAAAAAAAATTTCTTCTGCTGTAGGACGTTCAGCATAATTTTTATGTAAAAGAGTCTCTAGTAGCCAACGTAATGTTCTCGATAAAGAACTTGGCAATTGAACTTTGCAGTGCCGTATGATAGTAATCAAATTGTAATTACCGTTTTCATAAAATGGATATTGTCCTAATAACATTGTATATAAAATAACACCAAGTGACCACATATCTGCAGGTTTTCCTTTATACGTTTGATTTGAGCAAAGAAGTTCGGGTGCAGTATATAAAGGGCAACCAATTTTGTCACAAAGACTGTCATTAGTAATATCATTAAGAATCATTGACCCTTCAAGTGATTCATACTGCAATTTAGTCCTGAAATAATTAATATAAAAAAAATTATTACATTATATATTTCATATTATTTATTATATATATTACTTTGAGATTACAAGAATTTTAATAAGAAATTAATTGCAGACAAGTTACCGTTATCAAGAATTTACGATATTTTTGATCAGCTATGTAGAACCAAATATATTTCTTTTTTAACAACAGATTTTTATTAAATGGAGTTAAATGGAAAAAGAAAACTCTACGAACATTACATCCTCCTCCCAGCTTATGGTCTGAAAAGAGCACCTAATTTATTCCAAAAAAATGACTATTTCTTTTTCACAATTAACCCGAATCAGCAGAAACAATAGAACAGTGACAAAAATATATTTTAGAACTTCAACCTGACAATTTTTATTCATGAAGTGATATATTTAGGTCACAAAAGTACAAAAGTGTCATCCCAGATGTCAATAAATTTTAAATAATATTATATTATGCAATTATTAAAAAAGCTGATGACGTAAAACGATTTGTCATATTTTACAATTTCAGACGGTTTGTTTCAAATTTCGTTGAACTCTATAAAAACGACACATTTTAAGAGGACTAGACAATGTAAACTTGTATTAAAATATATATTCGAAAAGATGCTACTAAATCTTAACATTATGCAATATGCAGATTTCGAAAAGAGATTTTGCATAATAATAGACGCTACGAAATATGCGTACTGGTGCTGTGCTAAGTCGTAAGTGAAAGCGACACCTATTAACCATTAAAAGAATCAAAATTTATACGCAACATATACGCACATATGCATCAAAGTCTTGAAAGCGACACCTATTAACCATTAGGAGAATCAAAATATATACGTTATTAAGGTACATCCACACTAAAGCGAATTGCGAATATCTAAAAAAGTTCGTTCGTTCGCAAGCATTCGCTTTGATGTGGATGGACCTTGGTGAAATTTTTATATTTTAAAATTTTGAATTTTTATTTTATAAGAGAAAAATTTATATAAAGAAGGTATTCGAACAGTTAGAAAACTGAATCGAAAACAAATTTCTTAGCGTAACAACAAAAAAAAATAAATTTATTCCATTTTAAATAACAAACAAATATTAAATACCGTGTACCATGGTACATTAGGGCGAATGACATCCTCAGGTACTTCAAAATTAATCCCATTAAAAAATACGTAAAGGACAGAACCCTGAAACTATTTGCGAAAACTGACAGGCTTACCAACACCGCGTTATCGAATCTCAGAATGGTTAAATTTGGCGAGAAGTATTTCGGTAAACAGAATAAACGAAACATACTTAAAAGCAAAAACTAAAATATAATAAAAATTGTTTGAAAATTCTAGTCATTTTTCAGCAGAATGTAAGCAATGAGATTTCCGTTAAGTTAAAGTTAGATGTAATAGACTTAAAGCATTTGTAGTTCTATATTAATTTTCGCTCAAAAAAATGAAACTATTCGATACAAATAATTTATTTGACTTTTTTATATTGGGAGTACACATTGCTAAAACAACTTAAAATAATTAAAAAGTTTAATTTTTAAAAGAAAACACGTCAGTAAATTATTATAATTAATTAATATAATTAATTATTATAACGAAAAAAGCCAAAAAAATAACATATTTAAATATGTATAAATATTTAATAAATATTATAAGCATATTGAAGTTAGCGTTGATGATGATAATGATATTGACACACAAATTAATTGTAGAGATGAAAACGCTAAAAATTTGAAGATTCCAAATTACTTCTTGAATTTGCTATTGTATGAATTTCACTACTACATATGCACAATGTTACATAAAGTAATGTTTTACAAACAAATATTTTATATTTCTGTATATTTGTATTCAAATATACATACAACAATAAAAACCTTGTACTGACCCTGAAAATACAAAAAAGATACAAAACAGAAAAAAAAGAGCGAATTTAAAATGAGTAAAACGGGCGTAATTACAAAAGTAAAATATTCTGTGTATACACACATTTATGAATGACCTAGCTTTATAAATTTTATTTATATATATTATATATTTTATTTATTAATCAAATAAAAAAACAACAACACCCAGTATATATCGTTAAAAAATGAATATATAAAATGCTATTGGTGCGATTAGATTAAGCTTAATTAAAAAATTTTACTTTGCGTGCATAGTTTTTAAAGTTAACATTTAAATATATATGGTATGTACACCTTACTTACACCTTTCCTCTAAAATAATTGTCATGATGGAATAAACCCCTAAAATTTACTTCTTGAAGCTAAGTTTGAATTAATTATAATTTTTCAGTAATCTTTAAAAAATTAGATTTTAATCTGAAAATGAAAATATTTTGTTTGGTTGCTTACTGACAGCTCATTCGAATGAAATATTTGAAAATATTTAATATTTTAACGTCAAAAAATTATTAAGTATTAAGTATTTTTGACCATTGCAAAACGAATATAAAAAATTGATTTAGACAAAACCTTATAAACTTGTTTTGTAAGTGCGATTTTTTACAAGTTTATATGCTTGTGTGCTGCGTCATTTTCACATGTTACACTTTTATCCAGTACGAGTTTCTAACAGAGCTAATTACATTGTTCACATTTAAGTATAATAAATGTGTTTTATAAACACTTATAGGAAATGTTTTGTTTTTTTTTACTACATTTAAAACGGTTTTAATACTTACTTTTCTTCATCGATAAAGTAAAATCGCTTAAGCTTCAAATCACGCAGAATAACCCCGTTCCGATGACACAGCAGGACTGTTTGACAAATCTGATGAAATAATAAGCGAGCTTCTGTTTCACTTAAACGCCGTTTATTTCTAATATATGTATGCAAGTCTTCCGATTTATCCTTCTGATTTTTTTTTGTTAATATTATATATGTGCGATACGTGGACTCTGGGACTAAGTCATGCACATCACGTATTAACTGATGTCCATATATAAAGCTACGACTTAGTTCTGAGTCTCTTTGTATCTGCAAGTAAGCGATTTGCACTTTACGTAGAGGTTCGTTTATAACCTTGCATCGGAATTGTTCTTCAGTGACCAAATCAGTGCATTTGAAGTTTTTTGAAGTGATATCGGCCAACTGACGAAAAGAGGTTTGTTTTTTTAAGCGATTTATTGAGTGACTTATTTGTTGTAAGCTTATTAGATAACGATCTTTAACAACATTAACTGGCTCTGTTAAATGTAATGGACCTGAGTGCTGCTTGAAAGAAACGCCAGGTGATTTCAGTTTTTCTCGAAGTCGCACTGCAAAGGAGTCACGAAATTTCTTTTTTGGAGTTAACTGCTCAAGAGATACGGGACGTGAACAAACTTCAGAGCTGTTAACTTCTATCGAATCGCTTACAGTATAAGAAGTAGACGTATTCCTAGAAGTTTCATTAGTTAACATTGAAGTGTCATACATTGATGGCCATTGAGAAAACGATACTATATTTAATCCATTGTTTTCCGCATTTGATGAATTCTGGATACTAAGGCGATTACTACAATTTGTTGTGAAGGAATTTATATCCATTTTAAACACAAGGGTATAACGTTGTTCACTCTTTTAATGGTCACAATTTTCTTATAAAAGTAATCGTACTCGTTACTATAATTTTAGTTAGAAATCTTCAATACAGAAATCTTATTTTATATTTATAATTTTAACTTCAATTATTGCTTAAGTATTTAAGAAAATTAAATGTGTCAATATCAAAGACCTAAAAAATTTCCAAATACACATTCGATCAAATCCACCAACCAACACAGCCAAACATACACAACTGAATTGAAATGTTGTTTAATGCATATTTCTACGATCAATTTACAGAGAATAATGCATGAACGGTCGCACATAATATAAATTTGTTTGTTTATGAAAGTAGCAGACATTGATGTTCAACGTGGTACAAACTGTACGAGCAAAATTTATTCAATCTTTGTGATCTGATATATACTGAAGCCCCTTTATGTGACAAGGAACTTTAGATGATCTGTATAAAGCGAATGGTTACTAACAAAGATGATAATGAAAAGAAACTGAGAGTTAATTGAAAAATTGTGTTTCAATTTTCTGGATTATTCATATAATATTCAAAATTATGTGTAATGACGTGAAAATATCGCGTAGTACAAAAACAAAAAAGCTAAAGCTACATAATAGCACATAACCGTTTTCCACAACCGATCTTGCTATTTTGCCCACCTGGTCCCTACTCAACACGATATTTGCTAAAATAAGAGCACTTTCTGAGAAATTTCGTTGTCTTTTTTGGTTTTTAGCGCCAAAGTTGCACAAATATCATACTACTAAAAAAAAACGAAATCCTAAAAAAACAAGTCTGGATATCTTCACCTAGAAAAGAAAAAGAGTGCTTTTGTAATAACCCATTCCTAAATGCAGAAGAACTATCAACAGTTCGCCAGGTAAGTTACCTGGGAATGACTCTAGATGAGAAATTGACGTGGAACTCTCATGTAGACAACGTTATTCGTAAAACCAGAGAAACATTATGGACCAATAGAAACCTCATTGGTAAACACTGGGGCCTAAATCAAAAACTCAGTCTATGGATGTAAAAATCTATTGCTAGGCCAATTGATACCTATGGATCATCCATCTGGTACAAAAAAGCTCAGCAGAAGACTATGATAGACAAGCTACGAAAGCGGCAGAAATTAGCCTGTATAATGATAAGTGGAGCGATGAGAACCACTCCGAAAACAGCACTTGAGATTGCATTGAAGCTCCACGTACTTCACGTACTTGTCAAAAAGGAAACCACGACTTTTATAGCCAAGCTACAGTTGACTAATAATCTATCAACAAGATCACTTGATAACTCACTTTTAGATAAGCAAATGTAAAGAGTAGGACTAAACATCACCATTTCTGACATTTGCTCACCTAAATTTAATTTCCACCAAAAGTTCCTAGTACTAGTACCAGTCACAAATGACTACGAAAGGAACATACCTCCATTCGTTGGAGACTACCATCTGTGATACAGAACGATAGAAGAAATGGAGGTGGGGGTATATGAAGTAAAACCAAAAGAAGAAATATTTACGAGTATGACTCCAGTAAACCAAGTTTTACAGGCCGAAGTACATGCAATTGAACTATGTCTAAAGGAATATAAAGGAAAACCTATCACGGGGAAAAACATATATATTTTCTCTGACAGTAAATTAGCACTCCACGTCCTCAAAACTAGTGTAGGAATGCCTTCAACCTGTCAAAGACCTTGCTAAAAGGAACAGGGTTTACTTAATATGGATCATAGGGCGCAGCGAATTTGAGGGAAACGGGAAAGTAGATGAACTACCCAGAAAAGAAACGGTCTCATACCTTATTGGACGACAACCATTCTACGGTGAAGTGTTACACTTTTAGATTTTGTAAAGCTTGTTATAAGGTATTCTTTTCAATACACAGCAAAAATTAATAAAACTGCATATATTTGCACTGTTAATTCATGTTTACTTGCATAGTTTCTTTTTATTTAATGAATATAGGTTGTATTAGGTTGAATGTAATAAAGTTTAATATATTAATATTTACACAATGTATAGGTAGTTTTTCTGGGTGTGTGTTACAATTTTTTAAGATAAAATAAATTAATAAAATAAAAATAGAAAATAAAAGTTCTTATTTCTTTGATTAAATTATAATAATACTTACTGTCAATATTAAACACTGTATTTATATAGATCTTCTGGTTTTTTGTTAACAATTTCTTATTTCTTTTGATTAAATTGTAATAATGTTATTATTGATTTTTTAAGATTAAATCGACAATCGAATCAAATTTACTAATAATTTCACTGCGCTTTTAATTCATATGCCCAATATACATCACTGCCACTAACTCGCACCAAACGAAAAACATTCACTTTTGACTAGGTCACCACGCCGCTAATTTTTATTCAGCTATTCAGCAGAATAATCAAAAATGTAAAATGTAGTCATTAGAATTTGGCAATGTTAAAAATGCCCAATAAGCAAACATGCAGGTGTCACAATTATTTAGTTGCTAAAACTTTGCCCACAGTTGTTTGCGGATTTCAATGCCTGAACTCAATAATTTTTAAATAAAACGCTTCCGCGATTATGCAGAAAATTGCATTTTAACATAATATTTGGCCATATTAACGAATTGTATTACGCACCAAGAAAGATTCGTAACCAATCGCTAATACAATTTTAGGGTACCTAGTCAAAACTAGATACACACCAAAGGATAAAATGTGGCTAACACGCATTAACTAGCGCAAAGTAACAGTAAAATTTATTGCTGTTACGTTGAAATAAAAATCGCAGATTTGTTTGATTTTATAAGAACAATAAATACCGAAGAAAATAACGTAGTCAGATAGTGGTCTATTCGAAAATCTATTATTAATACGTATTGATCGTCATAACATATTTAGGGAGGTCAGGATAAAGGTTATCCATATTGAAATAAATTTATGTACAAAAATTATTTTATCACTTCCCATCATACGTAATTGTTTTATTTGTAGATATGAAATCTTTATACGATACTTTAATCATATTAAAATCGATTAATTTAGTATCGATTACTTTAATATTATATAAAATATTTAAAATGACATAATAAAACAAATTTTTTGTATTATTTAACGAAACTAATTAGGTTTGGTTTTGCGACAAAATAAAATTTTTTAAAAGGAGTACTGGGGATACTTATAGATTTACAATAAATCGCATAAACAAATATTGCGATAATATTAACTTATATACGTTTATATAACACATAAAAGATTCAATAATTTCTTCAAAAACATTTAATAAATATAGTTTGCATTGGAAAAAAGTTAAAAATTTTATTTTAAATGTGTTAACTAACTCTCATATTTGTTTCAATAAGAAATTTATTCTCTATATAATATTATGTTCACATTACGAACTTTAGTGCACAAACTTTGCTAAAGTTGATTCAACGTTTACATTATCGTTTCGGGTTTTCATTTTGACAGTTGTTGTTTTTGTTATCTTTTGTTTACATTTGTTTTGTTTACATTTTGATACTTGTGAATATTGTGTTTGTTTACTATATATATTGATGAAAATGATGGATCAAAATATAATTACATTGCTTTGCACTGAATCTGCACAACAAAATGAAATTCTCAATAATGATTAAATTACATACGTATAAAGCGCCGTAAAATAATTGCCAAAATATTGCAATTAATAGCGGCAAATAAATATAAAACATTTTACAATTTCTTAGTCTAAGAAAATTTGCATATAATGAACAGAAGGAAACAAACCTAGCAAATAACAATTAACAATTTTGTTAACAACTTGTATAAAAGTTTAAAATATCAAAAATGAATTTGTAAATTTGTAATGACTTTCATTAAAAATCAATTTCATTCAGAATTATTCATCACATTTTTTATTTTGGTAATCCGAATTCGAGATTAAACACTTTAGTAATAAAAGAAAATTATTTTAATAACAAAAGTTTCTATAAATATAATTATTGTTATATTTCGTTTTTAATATGCAACTTTCTTTATATAGGTATAGAAAGTTTCTTTCTACTGAACACCGCTTGCATTCAACTTATTGTTGTCAATACAAATGTAAACAAACAAAAGTGTAAACAAAACGAAATGTCATTTCGCCATTTTCATACTAAAAACTTATCGAAAACGCATTAAATTCAGTACTGTATTCAGGAAAAGGTATTAAATGAAGCCAACTTTCGGTCAAAGTTCGAGTTTTGTTGTGCCTATTTTTATATGGCAAAATCGACTTCGGTTGCTGGTTTTGCGCTCAAAGTCGATTTCTGGCAGCAAAGTTCGTGATGTAAACATAGCATAACGAAGGGTTTTCCACGCATTGTGAAAAGCCCAAGACTTCGAATCCGCTAATGCAGAGTTTAACCCTATCACCAAATTTTCCTTAAAAAACTCAAGACCATTTTTTGGCAATCTTGTTCCCATAACTTCTGTGCACTTTCTTTGAAGCAAGCACTGTTATTTGTTGATTTTGAATAATTTGAAATTTATTAAAACCGTACAAATAGCTAAGAAAATCAAAGAGAGATTCTTGAAGACTGCGAGGGGATCGAAACAATTCAAGGATCAAAAGTGCTTCACGAAAGACCACACAAATGGTTCAAAAAAATCTGAAATAAATGAGACAGTTATTGCTGGACACTTCCGGACTGCGTCACTTGTGAGAGGGATAATCAGGTTATCAAGGGTAATCTTAGGTAATACATAAGCCTCTATTCGGCTGCTAAATCCGTTAATTCTGGACGAGAAAGCTAAATTGATTCGTTGTTGCGCATCTTGTTTTTTTTGCCCTAACTTCTTAATTATTTGATCGGTTATCAGGTTGACTTGGGAGCCGGAATCCAACAATGCTCTGCACTCAATTTCCCTTCCATTGTTGCCTTTAACGACAACACGTGCAGTTCCTAATACCACATAATTTTTCTGGATGTTGAGATTGTTGGAGAACAGACGAGCAGGATTTTTTGATAAGGATGCCTTCTTAATCATGGATGCTTCAAATATGCCTTCTAAATGCAGCAAAGTGTTGTGTATTTTGCTGCATTTTAAGCAATTGCCTGATGTGCAGTCTTTTGTGAAGTGACCACTTT